GGTATTACTAGGGGCCACTGTACACTGCCTGTTACTAGGGACCACTGTGCATTATCTATTACTAGGGACCACTGTACACTGCCTGTTACTAGGGACCACTGTACACTGCCTGTTACTAGGGGCCACTGTACACTGCCTGTTACTAGGGGCCACTGTACACTATCTGTTACTAGGGACCACTGTACACTATCTGTTACTAGGGACCACTGTACACTGCCTGTTACTAGGGACCACTGTACACTGCCTGTCACTAGGGACCACTGTACACTGCCTGTCACTAGGGACCACTGTACACTATCTGTTACTAGGGGCCACTGTACACTATCTGTTACTAGGGACCACAATACAATATCTGTAACTTGGGACCACAATACACTATGTGTTACCAGTGACCACAATATGTTACCAGGAACCACAATACGCTATTACTGGTATTACTGGGGGCCAATGTACACTATTAGTTACTAGGGACCACTACACGGAAATGCAGGGTTTCCGGAATAATAGGGCTTTGGAGTAATGAGTATCTGATTTGTCATGTGAAAATCCGCAAACAACTAACGTTGCCTCAATCAGTGACCTGAACCTCTTCCTACAGACTATAGGCTGACATGATGTTTACTTAAACCCATGTCCACAGTCTAAATAGCTGCGGCGGACGCTTCAGGTCTGAACAATGTGACCACGAATGTGGATTGCATTTGAATCACTAGCCATTTCGTCTTGTTCGTCTTTGAACTTGGCAAACCCTTAAGCACACTGGGTTCATTGCTAGCGCCTGGTCTGAAACGCAGCTATGTCTGAGGGAAGCTTTAAATCCTAAAAATAGCTGCCGCATAGAGACCATAGCTCGACGGCTAGAGACATAGCAAGGAATGCAGTGATAGACCAGAGAGCGTTTTAACCGATTTTGTTGAGACTGAACAAAATATGTTAAATGTAAGTTACTCTGACGAAAGCTTTAAATCCTACTATAGCTGTGAAATAGTTTGCTTCAGAATAATCTCGATTATCCGAGGATACGGAATTGATTGGGCGGAAAAGACCCAGTAGCAGTGATAACTACATTAATTGATCACTGAATATAAGTCATAAAACCAAGTGATCGTGAAAGAGGTAAGCATGGCCTGTCCTAGCGGCATTCGTCACCACTCGCCCATACCTCCAAGACGATATTCGGCTTGTCCCGGAATATCACGAGTTGTCACGAATGTCCTAGCAGTAGCACCTGCACCTCACAAATTGCATAAAAACGTATTTTCCTTGAGGCCGCTCTGAGGCGCCCTCTCACTGCTTGAAAAACTCAGGGAATCAGGTAATAGACCAGAAAAAGTCACATGAAAGCATTTTCACCAATTTTGTTGAAACTGAAAAATATGGGTGTTTTTGTGTTGGTCGGTACAAGTGCAGAAATTCTGCCGATTAAGAAAAAAAGAAGAAAAAACGTTTGTTCGTTTCGGATCACAGCGGGTGACAGTTTTTTTATATCTGGAACATTTACTAAAACGCTTTTTTGTTTTGCTTTCAGCATGACTGGTACTATTTGTTACGAGGGAGGAGTTACAGTTGCGAGTCAGAAACGGACCGATGGTACTCAAACGGACTGTAGGTTATGATGAAACTAGTGCAGTCCAGTCTACAAGCAGAAACATCGACTTAGTTCAAGTGAATATAAAATTCATAAAAGTAGATGCATTCTCTATCATCAGAGGAAATAGATTCGCCTTCCGCTGAGTACAAATGAAGAGATTTAGCTGCTTATCACAGAAGCAAATAGTTCGAGTCAGGGGCGTAGCTACCATTATATAAAATAGCCCGGGCTCACACATGATTATTGCTAAAAAGGTTGGGCAAGCCCTCAATACTATCTAATATAAAGCATTGCACCCTATCGGGCTTACACGAAAAAAATGGCTTGCTACGCCCCTGCGAGTGAGGACACTATTTATGTCACGGTCCAAACTTTTCTTTTTCAGCTGAGTCACGATGATAAAGGTTCACCGACGATGTACATTTAGTGCTTTTACCAAGAAACTTAATGGCCGATTAAACATCAAGTATATAATTGAAAAGATATTCAACTAACCTCGTACACTTTACATGAGATCGGGTTCAGTTAACTAGGTCGTCCACCTTGAACGTGAGACACCAGATTTCATGGTCCACTAAACCGACATGATTGTGATACAACTTCTCCATTTATCGTTTTACGTTACATCTACTTTGAAAATCAGAATTGGGTTACATACGCTGCTTTTAGCAAAGAATGTGTGAAAAATGTTATATTTTAAAAGAAACTGAGTTCCCTTTAAATAATAACATTTTTTAACCCCGTTAAATATTAACTAACCCCGACTAATGTATAAATATTTCTATCTTTTTCATCGGTGTGGTGTACATACTAGGGCTGTGCATTGGCAAAACAATTGTATTGCAATATATTGCGATTCAGGTACCCGTATTACGATAAGTATTGCTATACATTGAGAACTTAAGTGTTTGACAGTAAGTGACACTAATTGTCGATCCTATTTTCTACAGTATAAGTCCCTAAACATACATGTTATGGTTCTGATAAGAGCAATCTCAAACTTAAGTCATGGATTCAAATTTCTTTTTATACAATTTCTTGCATGACAACACGTCGTTTTGCAATGGGACAACGAAGGAAAACATTTGTTGTGAATGAAAGTGTAAACCGTAAAGATAATCACAAAAACTCCATATATGTCCCTTTACCCAATATATCGGTCTTCAGAAACAAATGTTGCAATACGTATCGTTTGAAAAGCGTATTGCGATATACCGATATACCGGTAATACCGTGCAGCCCTAGTACATGAAATGATTTTCTTGACGTATTTTGAATACTTATCACATCGACGTGGAGATTAATTACAGTGTATTCCACAGCTAATGACATATCTATATTAAGATTGCATTGTTCAATTTTATACAACATACGCGGACATCAGCAGATGAAACGGGGCATTTACCTTCGTGAAATACGATAACAATTCTCTTGTGTAATCCAGGTAGTCAGTGCGTCCGACGTTGTTAATTAGGGACAGTGAGATGTTTGACACCAGTACCTGGCGATGTACGTGCAACTGGAAATAACCCAACAAAACCCTATCCATATTCAGTCAAAAGTGTCTCCTCGAGTTATCGAACAATCCTTGACATTTCAGCACTTCACTTTAGCTGTTTTCTAAGTCATGTAGGAATGACAGGTAACCCAATAGTCGATGCTGAACCTGAAGCAGTTCTTTACCATTATCGTCACTGCTTGTTGGTTATCAAAAGTTATACTGGGGATTTTATTCAAACAAAGTTGAACACCTAGACAGGAACCAATAATGTTCCTGAATACAATCGGGCATACCAACTGTGGTTGTTAGTCAAACCATGATGAGCTCATTTGACAACGATTTCGTATTGGCTCACAGTCGGTTTACTCACGAATATATTATTAAAGTCACAGTGTATTAAAAAATCCTGTTTACCCGTCTGAGCGGGCATTTTATTATCATCCACTTGATCTACATAAACTTGATCTACATAATACATTGTAAATATGTACGTGGATAAGTAATTGCTTGTATTTCAGTTTGGTGTGACCCGTGAAGATCCGGGGTAGAATAGGTCTTCAGCAACCCATACCTGCCACAAAAGGCGACTATGCTTGTCGTAAGAGGCGACTAACGGGATCGGGTGGTCAGGCTCGCTGACTTGGTTGACACATGTCATCGGTTCCCAATTGCGCAGATCGATGCCCATGCTGTTGATCACTGGGTTGTCTGGTCCAGACTCGATTATTTACAGACCGCCGCCATATAGCTGGAATATTGCTGAGTGCGGCGTAAAACTTAACTCACTCACTCACTCAATTTGGTTTAATGGTGGTTTGAAGGTTATAATTCGTAATGTTAAAATGTGAATTCCTGTTACAGATGACTGTGCATTTTCGATAGACTGACAGTATGGATGTGTGACATGGTCTCGATACTAAAAGAGCCGAAATATTATCGATTCGGCTTTGACATGTTAATTCACTTGCTCGTTCCAGCTTTAAGGCCTTGCGTCTGTTTGTTAGGCCCGAGGCTGGTTTCGCTTGGTAAGGGTGTCAGATATAGTCATAACCCTACTATACACGAAGTGGATGTGAAATGTGAAAAGAGTCACTCAAGCTTTATTCGCTGAACATACATTTTGACTAAACGCATCATAGGTCCTTGGAAGTTCCCCAGGGTTCAGCTTAACAATTAGTTTGGAATAGAATGTGATTTGGGTATAAAGAAATTGGTTAACAAATAGACAGCACACGAATATATGACTGAGATGAATGTGAGAAATGATCTTTCTGTTCATCATTAAAGTAAAGGAAACAATGTTCATTATACACTTGTCAGCAAGTAATGGACTTTAGGCTCGAGTATTTACAAACAATTCCAACATCGTACGTAACCTGGAAAAAGGCTACAGAAACCTTATTCTAAGATCATCTGCCTCAGAGATGTATATAAAAGGAGTTAATCCTTACCTCTCTTTCCCCATTACATCTCAAGCCACAAGAAGATAAGCATTGTATATGATGACCATTATTCCGTTATACTCTCTGTGTAGCCCTTACTTTTAAGTTAGATTTCGTTGCAGAGGTGAATACTACTATCTATTGCCTTTATTGCAATAATCACTGCTCTTGTATTATATCAACATGTCCCCATCCCCCAACCCCCAAAACAATAAAAGAACCACATAAAAACAAACAAACAAAAACCCAAACAAGCAAAAACATACGGTTAGTAGAATCAAATACTCAGATAACAGTAACTAAAATGATTTATCTTATCATTGCTATGGGGCAAATAAAAATGAAAACTACACACTGATGCATACGGACAGAGCTACTGCTATCTTTATGTGGGTCGAAGGATAATGTCAATCTCAGCTTCCTCGGGATCATGCAACACAATCTGCCAAGAAACAATCACACTATATTAGGTGTATTCACAGATGAATCTCAGTGGAGCCCAGCAAGGGTTGTCGTTCCACTGGTAGTCACGTGACCGGACCATCTCGACACAGAACTCTGTGGCACTCTTTCCCTCGCCAGGTATCCAGTTGGTGTAGCTAGCCCGCGTCCCATCCGACCAGATGAATATTCCGTTCGCCACAGGTTCATCACTCAGGCCGATCCAGTAATTGGTGGTCCTCCATACTACAATATAAGTTGTGTTCTATGATATAAGCATGCACGTGTTATCATTAAGCCATATTTATGTACGTAAGAACGAATAGTCGGAAAGTTGAAGCATTTACGAGAACTCTTTAGAGTGAGTGAGTGAGTTAAATTTATCGTCACACCGGCAGCCTAGTGGTTAAAGCGTCCGATCGTCACGCCAAAGGCCCGGGTTCGATTCCCCACATGGATACAATGTGTGAAGCCCATTACTAAAACCAGCGTAAAACATACTCTTAATGCCTTGACGTATGCTACTGGCATCAGATCAGCGATGGGCTCCAATACAACACTGTAGAATTCTATATGAGGATACATGATACATGATGAGAGACCATTGTTTTCCTTGGGCTATGGCAGACATGGGATCATCAGCAGTGACTTTTTTCATTAAACTCAAATACATTGATCATTTTGGAACATCAAAGCATGATGGTTGGGGTAGCCTAATGGTTCAAGCGTTCGCTCGTCACGACTAAGTCCCGGGTTCTATTCCCTACTTGGATGCAGCTTGTGAAGATATAGTGTCCCCCGCTGCCATATGAAATATTTGCTACAGGAGGTGTAAACACGATCATGCACTCAAAGCAAGATACATACGACATGATGCATTGTAGGATTTAATCTTTTGATGCAAATAGCATTACGTTTACAGCAACACATTAAATATATATTATTCAAAGAATGACATCAACATCGGAAATTTCTCGAATGCTCTTATAGCCTTTGGTGGTGTTTTACGCTTCTTTTCGAAATGATCCACACGTATCCTGTCAAGGGACAATACACTCTTGTGTTAAAAGTTCATTCCCTTTACAAATACAGGCAACATACAACCCACGAGCACCGCATTTGTCAATCGTGAAGAACCCGCCCACCACACGCTGTGCGTGACGCTTTGAAAACGGGTGTGCACGGGTCACCACACGTGTGATACGCGAGCGTGACGCGTTGAAAACGGGCGTGCACTCCGTTCACCACACGTGTGATACGCGAGAGTGACGCTTTGAAAACAGGTGTGCACTCCGTTCACCACACGTGTGATACGCGAGAGTGACGCTTTGAAAACAGGTGTGCACTCCGTTCACCACACGTGTGATACCTGTGCGTGACGCGTTGAAAACAGGTGTGCACTCCGTGTCATATCCCTAACATACTTGACGGAAATCTTTTTTACCAATAATAAACCCATGTTCATTTAAAACTGAAATTATGGGAAGGAATGCGGCAACGAATGTTCTTTCTTAATGAGAAATGTTAATACTCAGTTTGATATGTACCTGCTCCTTTTAGGTGTTATTCAGAAGGAAATATGAGTACTATTGTAAAACAATCAGATACATCAATAATTGATGTGACCATCTTCTTCTGCATGATCTGTCGCGAAGATCTTGTCAGCGAAAACGCTTTGCGATTGAAAAGTTTGAGTTGTTTCCCATAACCATCAATAGTGCTACTACAATCTGCAGAACGACTTCCGAAGGGCTATCGAGATTCTACAACCAACTATTGCATTTAATTCTCACATCTTAGATATCAAACACTATTTGTAATATTAAGAATACAACCAATGCGAATTCCACATCATAAATCATATTATTTGATATAATAAATACAGTTAAAAACTAATGTCTTTAGCGATATCATTACCTGATTTATTATGATTTAATAAAATGTATTCTATGGTGAATGACAAGGAGTGAGTGAGTGAGTTTAGTTTTACGCCGCACTCAGCAATATTCCAGCTATATGGCGGCGATCTGTAAATAATCGAGTCTGGACCAGACAATCCAGTGATCAATATCATAAGCATCGATCTGCGCAATTGGGAACCGATGACATGTGTCAACCAAGTCAGCGAGCCTGACCACCCGATCCCGTTAGTCGCCTCTTACGACAAGCATAGTCGCCTTTTGTGGCAGGTATGGGTTGCTGAAGACCTATTCTACCCGGATCTTCACGGGTGAATGACAAGGATGTTAAATGCGATATCAATGAATATTTCACATCATTTAATAAACTTGCGGAATAAATGCAATTATTGATATAATAAAATACGGAATAAATAGTACAAAATAGCTATTGTATTGTTCCGTTTAAGTTGTATTGTGTAAAGTGAAATGTAAGTGCATCACTGATGTGGACGGCATTTCTCCTTCTCCATCAACATTTATTTAGCTGATGGAAAACTCTTCAAATCATTCACGTTTGTTCTTTGTTCAACAATCAGCGAGCCTAACCAGCCGATCCCGTTAGTCGCCTCTTACGACAAGCATGAATTGCCGAAAACCAACTCTTACCCGGATCTTGACGGGTATAAAACATTCACGATTATTTATAGGCAATATATTATTACTAACCTGACCTCTGATTCTTCATTTCCCTGTCATTGTCATCGTGAGCATGTGTCTACTTTACAGGGTATATACTAATACCGGAACATCGTTCTGATTAAAACATAAATGAAACGATACATTGACTTGCTCTGGAATTTTTACCTCGATAATTACTCTTTTACAGGTGCACTCATTCAGACAAATAAGTCAGGTATCACGGTTATTAAACTCATTGATGAAAGTAGGCAAGCATCTAGTGCCAGAAGTAGTGTGTTATTTCCTCAAAGAAAATATATCCCCATGCTGAAAAATAGTAATTTTCAAGTAAGAGAGGCCTGGTGACGTACGTTACTCAAGATCTGGCAAGATAGATGGAGGAGGATCAGTCGGTTTACTTGAGTGAAGAGTTATTGACCATCTCGTGGAAGGTTAGTCTTCTACGTAACCATCCAGGTTAGAGACGAACTCCAGAATGCCCACATGAAGAACAAACTTCGAGAAGAATACAAATGCAGACTAAGAAAATCGGATCTGAACGCTCGTACCCAAATTCAAAACCACAAATACTTATTCTGTCCCCGTCCTTTCACATTCTTTTGGCTTTGGTGATTGGACGAAACAATAAATGGAGGTTCAATCTTCATGACAGAATATTTTTGTGAACATATTTATTTGTCTGATGATCCTCTTGGAGCATATTCTGAAAAGGCATTGCACTGCCATTTAAAAAGAGCCAAGGTTATTGGACAGAATCTCAACGTCAATGTTGGTTTTGTTGACGGTTCTGTACAGCGTGCCGGTACCGAAACGAGTGTAAACCAAGCGAAGCACCATATCAAATCGGCACAGACTTTTCAGGGAAGGCTCTCTGAACGACCACTGCACCAAGTTCACGTGCAGTGTGTTGAGAAGAAGATCACATCTGCCAAGTCCTTCACTTGGATGAAGTCGACTGGCCTGAAACGTGAAACAGAAGGGTTTCTGTTCGCTGGTCAGGACCAGGCGCCAGTCACCAGGACTACTCGTTACCGTCAATATGTCATTTTACGTCATGTAGAAACGTAGATTATGTAATGAATTTGATTATACTGCCCAGCAACTTTTCAGTGGATGCCCAGCGTTGGCACAGACACTGCATCTTAAGCAACATGGCGTTGTTCAGCTGATAGTCTTCCACGCTTGTGGCTTCAGCTTCGAGGCCCATCCATAACACGACCCAGACTATGTAGAGGGCGTGATGTACAATCACAGTTACAAAATTCTTTAAAACAGGTCCATATACATCCTCTGACATATCCAGGCCAACATACCTGATCTTGACCTTTAGAATAAATCCAATAAAATCATTTGTATCATTGAATTTTTGTCACTTTTGACAGCACTGTCACTGACAAGATTCAGGGGGAAAAAAAGGCAAATGCACGGTCTCCGCATTTTAAATGTCTCGTATTAAGTATCAAGTTGTCCGACACCCTACTGTTCTCGGTGCCCTTGGTTTGGTATGTTCTGATCTGTTCGCACAGATCAGGAGTGTATCAGGGTGAGTACCACCAGCTCTCCTGACACTGGGTAATGAAGAAGAAAATCAGAATTCCATTTGTGGATAATTGCAACATCCATTACTGGAGAAAAGAGGGAACTTACAAAAAACCCATTGAATTCAAAAGACAAAATATCTGCCATAAACACAGACCAAGCCATCTACCATTGCACGCTATGGGTAACTGCGTTAACCCTAAAAGTCTGCTGACCGCCTAAGAACATCTTAATTGTGTTATCGTACATAGAAGGAGTTAATGAAGTAATGATATCAAGTTATCTGATAAGGGTTCAGTAACTAGCCCTGAAATGTAGTTATAACAAATATGAAACTTGTTTTTAAAAAATCTTTATATGATACATATAAATAAATGGGGGAATGTATTGATGTATGTTTTCTGAAGCATGAGTACTGGGGTATGTTGGATTATATTCTTACTCCTTCGGGCGAATGAAGATTCCGTTGTGTTCCTCATGATAGAGCAGGTGACATCCATATATCTTCCCATCTTAAAAGAAGTTGTTGTCCATATATTCATGTTATTCCAACGTCTAAAGACCGGCTCCGTGGTGTAGTGGTTAGAGCGTCCGCCCGGAGTGCGGAAGGTCGCGGGTTCGATCCCCGACCGCGTCGTTAAAATATGGTACTTGTTGGTCCCTGCCTGCCGCTCGGCATTAATGGGTACAACAAGGACTGGTCGACTCGGAGTCAGTATAATGTGTCTGAGTGGGGTATTCATGCTTCACTGCGGCATGTTATCTCAGTGGGCTAGCACTATAAAACCAGCATACACATACACACGCATGCACGTCGTCATATGAGCGAAATATTGTCAAGCACGACGTTAAACCCAAATTCATTTCACCTCACCCAACGTCTAAATGACTTGTTTTGTTTTTTTGTTTGTTGTTTAACGCCTCAGCAATAGTCAAGCTAAATGGCGGTGGTCTGTAAATAGTTGAGTCTGGATCATCCAGTCAACAGTCTTGGTTCAGTAAGCTGGAGTAAGCATTGAGGAGGTTAGGGTGAGGTTGTGATGCGCATCCACATGCACCATGCCTGATTCGACATGAAACATTGACAATTATAACTTATATCACTGAACCTCTTTAAGACTCTACGGTTCATTACCAGCTGATTCTTGTAGCGTTGTCTTAATGAAGTTGAACTTTCTTTCACTGTCCGCTACTATCAGTCGACCACCTCGGATCTTACACGTGCTGTCTGCTTTAGGCCAAGGTTTTGTGGTTGTCATGACCTCAATGCACATGTCTTCTATGGGACTGTAGATCCTGTTGGCACCTGAACAATCTGTGGAATTAGAAATACATGAATTGGGACAAAAACTGAACAAAATTGATACATACATTTGGGTTGGTTACTGAAAGGACCGACCTCCAGGTTAGTTGGTTTTAATATATGGAAGACTGGCAGAAGTCACAACTGGACTACATCTGATGTGTGTAAAGCTATTTGCCAAGTATGGTGTAGAAATATTGTACGGTAAATACAAGCACAACCGTAATGTTAAGCTAAAAAGCGTAACATTACGGTTGCCATGTTGCCATGTTGCCAAACTATATAAAACACTATTTCACGGCTTGAACTATCCATATGCCAGGTCTGGTGAAGAAAGATATCGTCCGGAAACGAAAAGTGACGGACGGACAAACCCGAATTCTGTATCCTCAACAAACGTCGCGGAGAATGAAAACGTTTCACAATGTCGAAAAGGGCATTTTCGTGTGATGTCAGGGATAGAGTGAGAAGATATTCGTCAGATTCATTTGCTGATTTGAAGCCTACGGGGTCAAGATACTGCGGTGGTGATCATGGGCATACGCCTAGGTACAAATGTTGAAAAATGATGTTACTCTCAAACTAACGTATTTTTTAGTAGTTTAGGCGCCAAAGGCATGAATCAGGGAGTTTGATTGATGCTGCTTTGAACAATATTTCGGGTATATCGTAGCGTGTCTGATGAAGGACAGCAATGATATAGCTGGACTATTGCTCGGTGGCGCGTGGTCCTGTGCTCAAAGCTCAGGTCCTAAATCGGTGAAATTAAGCAGCGTCGAGCTCGGAGAGTCCTTGGATGGGTGACCGTGTTTGGCAGCTTGACTCCTGAGAGTTTCTAGGACTTGAGTCATGCCCCACAACGAAGCACATGTGACACATGTGGTCTCACCTTAGGCGAGTGAGTTTGTTCAAAATTGTCTCTGTTCACCCAGCAGGAAAATGGGTACCCGGTGGAAAAAAGTCATATGACTATAACCTTCTAGCGCTTAACAGGCAGCTTGGGTTACCCGGGGTAATAATGTGCTGTGCCTTGATTGTTAGCGCTATGAGCATACCTAGTGTGGAGTTTGGCGCTATATAAATGGACACATTATTATTATTATTATTATTGCTAAAAGCGGCGTAAAACTAAACTCACTCACTTACTCAGATGGAATAGGATGGAAAACCCGAAGTGTCGCAGACCTTTACCACTTCCCTGAAACATGCAAGGTCATGGTGCTGACAAACCCGGCAGCAAAACCGATTTGAACCGATCATACAGAATACCTGAAGCGTCAGTCGTTCTCTGCCGTGTGGAGCATGGTCGTAGATAAGTGAGTGAGTGAGTTTAGTCTGACGCCGCTTTTATCAATATTCCAGCACAATAACGGCGGGGGACACCAGAAATGGGCTTCACATATTGAACCCGGGTCTTTGGCGTGACGAGCGAACGCTTTAACCACTAGACTACCCCACCACTCCTGGTGGTACATGAGGAATACAGATACAGATACAGATTTTGTTTGTGAAGCTAGGTTCCAGCTATATATGACGGCAATCTGTGTAAGTGTCAAGTCTCCAACAAACAATTCATCGATTTACCGGATCAAAGCCTGACCACCGTCGGTGACCTCATATGGCAAGAATAGGTTACTGGAGACGAGATCTTCACGAGTCCCTACACCCAGAGATTAAACCTCTAAAATAATAAATTCAAACGAAAGATTGCAGACTCAGCATAACAGAGAGAAATATCGAGAACTTTACCAACATGTTTGTTGCGACGTTAAGACATATGTATTACTGTGGACATTATTCGTACAAGTGTATTCTTGGATTTATGATTGATAATATCAGACATATCGTGTCTAGCAATAGCTAGGCTTATGAACATTAACACAATATTTAGGTCTGTTGGGTATCCTGGTGATTAAAGCGTTCGCTCGTCACGCCAAAGACCCGGGTTTGATTCCCACATGGATACAATGTGTGAAGCCCATTTCTGGTATCCCCCGCTGTGATATTGTTGGAATATTGTTAAAAGCAGCGTAAAATCACGCTTACTAATATATGATTTAATTTTCATACCTATTACGGAACCAAAGTAAGCTGCCCCAGGAGAGGGAATCGTAGATACAGTTACATCGATATTGGCCGAAGAATGCAGTTGACAGCATTGACTCGCTTCGTGAAAAGAGAATGACTGACATCCGGGGATGTCGCACATCTGACCGCACACTCTGCAGTGGAGGAGACGCCGCTCCGATTGTCAACGACATTCTTCATTATCCACTTATCGTCAAACTGATGGCGTCGTGTTTTCCTATCTGTTTGAATGCTGAAAAGGTTTTTCGGAAATAATAAACAATCATACTGTTTTGGCGACAATACAATCACAAATGCATGTGCATCTCAATCTGTAATCACAACCAATCACTCTGGACATCAACCTACTCTGCTCAAATCTCTAATTAGCAATCCAATGTACATCAACCTTGTCAATTGTATACACTCACTATGCAGCTATGTGATACTATGTATTCTCCTTGTTTCAACTCTTTGTATCACTTGCTTGATAACCGTTTTAGTAACTACACCGAAACGTCGCATTCATTGCAATAAAGTTGACTATCCATAGAACTTGGTTTTAAAACAGTGGTTTAATGCCGCTTCATAATACACGTATAGGTTAAACATATATACATAATGTTGAACATAATAATTATAACAAGTTGTGAAAATAAGAACAAGTTATCTCTTGGATATTAACAAATTACCTTAGTTTTGTTTCGTGGCCAGTTGATAAAAATAAGACAATAATTGAAACTACAAGACTTTTATGAATCAAATCGTTTTGGTGAAATAATGAATTGATGCACTGACTGTAGAATATCCATATGAGTTACTGAGTTATTATCTTTTAGCTCATCTCGAAGGAGAAACATTTCGCATAAAAATATAATTCATATCGAATTCTATTATATAAAGGACACGTAAAGAAATAGTGGAATACACCCTCATAATCATGTGAGCAGGAACAAGAAGCATTATCAGAAATGCAACGATTATATTTATCACTCCCGAGAGGGGAGGTTTCATAGAAGGTTCAATTTTACGTGAAAGTTGGATAGTTTCAGTTTTGTTTGGATTAAATTTTACTAGCCAGGTTTCCGCCCATTTACAAATTGTGTCTAAATGCACTCGTATAAGGATCGTCGATTATTACATAGAGTGATGTGTCGTCTGCGAAAAGACGTATATTACTTTCGATTCCATCCACTATGTTGTTTAAGTATACTAAGAATAAAAGAGATCCAAGGACTGATCCTTGGGGCACTCCGGCTATTTTCGGTTTTAATTATGATTTATTACCTTGAATAACTACACTTTGCATTCTACTTTGTAAATTACTTTCAAATCATTTCAATACCTGCCCATCTATCCCACATGATTATAGTTTACGGATAATCCCTTTGTGCCAAACTTTATCAAATGCCTTGCTTATATGGCAGAATACAGCTCTGACTTCTTTTCCTTTATCTATAGCCTTAGTAATAAAATTATACAAATGCGTGAGTTGATAAGATGTTGAATATCCTGGCATGAATCCCGATTGTAAATTTGAGAGACAATAGTTATCTCTCATGAAATTAAAGACATATTTCTACATTTTTCAAAGACCTTGGATAAACAAGATGTTAAGGCAACTGGTCTATAGTTAGAACAGTCGTTAATATTACCTTCCTTATTGATTGGTATGACAGATTATTCTTTCCATATATATGGAAAAAACTGATGTTTGACTGACTGACTGAGTTTGGTTTTACGCCGCTTTTAGCAATATTCCAGCAACATCACGGCGGGGGACTGATGTTTGAAGTGACCTATTAGAAATGTTAGTTAATGTTAGCGACAAGGAAGATGATATCAAACGTAAGAAATGGTTTCCAATACCACCTGGTCCCGTCGCTTTGGTAATGTTTAATGATGATAACACATCTTTAACATCCTGCTTTGTGAGATGTAAGTCACTCAAATATTTACTATTATTGTTTAAGGCCATGTTTGGAATATCCTTATTAGGGTCAACTATGGTTGCCTGGTCAACAAAGTAATTATTTAAGACGTTGGCTATTGATTCTGGTTCTTGATAGACGTCGTTATTGTGGGTAATAGGAGGGACTGACTGACTGAGTTTGGTTTTACGCCGCTTTTAGCAATATTCCAGCAACATCACGGCGGGGGACACCAGAAATGGGGTAATAGGAGGGAAGGAGAACTTTCAGATCCTCTGTTCATAATAGTTTTTAACTAAACGCCACCATAGTTTAGTGCTTAATATAATCACAGACTTTATACATTTAATGATGTATGCAGTCACTGTACATGATAAGCTGATCCTTTTTGGGGCGAACACCAGGTGTCATAACTATTTTGATAGCGATTCGTACACACCTACTCATGATACAGCTGGGATAGTGCAATGGAACATGCTGTTAGCAGATTTTTCTGGTGGCTAAAGGATCGTTAATGTTTATGTGTACGTCAATGCAATCTTTCAGTATGCCCCAAAGAAATTTAACGATCAAATTTCATTTACTTTTCCCCTTCAAAGATTCCATCACAACTGTGTGGAGGCGGGTGTGTGAAAATGTAAAAAATCTTTTAGGGAGTATAATTTATTAATTCGTTATCTGGCTGCGACGTAGTGTTTATTCATGTTCACTTTGCTATGAATATCCATTACTACAAACCTTTTGATGCTAACATGGATAATAACATATGCACTTTATCAACCCTTTAAGTTATACATTATATATCAGAGAACGCCAAAAGCTTCTTGCGCTCTCAATTGGATAGAAATGATTAACACAAGAAATAAAGTAATATTAAATGAAGCAACTGATACATGATGTATAAAGTGGAAATGCAGAACAAAGCACGACGAGTGGGACTCAACACGTGTGTTCCGTTTATCAGGATATTTTGAATTTAAACTTTGCAGTACTTTTGCAGTTTTCATACGTCCACATTTTCAAGGCATTCCTCTCATAAGCCTCCTAAAAAGTCACCGAACCATAATAGATGAAGCTTCAGATGATTATTCCAGCAAATGATAACAAACAAATTCGTACTTTGTACGATTGAAGTCTAGATCATACTTCTACATTTTCAAGGCATTCCTCTCATAATGAATGTAAGCCTCCTAAAGAAGTCACCGGACCATAATAGATGAAGATTCAGATGACTGTTCCAAGAAATGATGACACATGAACTGCTTCATGAAAATCGAATCCGAATTTCAAAATGGCATTTAATACATGTAAAGTGCGTTGTGAATCTCGACGCTTATTGTCCATCTTTCGCGATATTAACGCTTTTCTACTTATGCATGTTCTTACATTTTCTCTGAAAGTTTTTTTTTTTTTGTCTCTGTGAGGCTGGTCTCTAAAATTGCTACAGTGAGACAGACATGTTTGTGTATATTCAAGATGGCATGATATGCTGTTTAAATCATTAATTATAAGAAGTAGACAAATGCTTCACATTAGAAGGTGCATAATTTTGCGTGTTGAAACAATGTCATACATTGTACTTTGATTCTTGCATTTATAGACACGCCCATGTTTACGTTGTATTGTCCAAAAATAGTTTTCTACTGTTAAAGATACATGCTAGCTAGTTTTAATTCATTTTTGTGATAAACTAGTAATTTTACTGTCCTTCGTTGACAGGGTTCTATATATCATATGTATGTATTATAAATTTAGAACTAGTTTTAGTCACGATATGGCTGAAATATTGTCGATGCGACTTTAAATCTTAACTCAATCACTCATTCATAGACACACACTCTGTCAACATTTAGTTTCTTGCCACATAATTTTGTAGCTGCTATTACTTGTTAAACCATTCTTCTCTTTACATCTGGACGTCTGTTTAAGTACAAGTGATAGCGTATCAAACGGACCATCAATACTGAAATACAAACAAACGAGGAAATTGTAACAGTTTTGTCTCTTGTAAATTTAGTTAAATGTATCCACAGCACTAGTTATGTCCACGAAATGACATTAGTCAAGCATATTTTCTGAGATCACGTTTTCCTTACATACGATACTTGGTTTAGAAATGTCGTAGGTATTGAGTAAGAACACATATATTTTTATTAAATACAGTCATGTCAATAAACATACAAACAAACAAACACATAGAAAAATATGACAGTTTGAATATACTACAAAAAATATCAAATATAAACAATTTATATTAGCGCTTTTGCCTTGCGTGTTCAGTGAATTGGAACAAGTTAATCATTTCAAAATACAGGTCAATAAAAAGCAATAGTGAATATTTGACAATCTCAGTATAAAACCAAAAAGAGATGAAAATATTTACCATTTTTGATAACCGCTTTTGCTTTTCACGCTCAGTGAATTATAACAAATTCAATATAATTAAATACGTGTAGATAAAGAACAATAAATCAGTTAGGTAAATATATTAGTTTGAGTATAATAGAAAACCGAAAAAATGAAATATATATTTTTGTCAGTACTTTTGCTTTTCCTGCTCATTGAAAGCTGTTTCGTCCAATAATCGAGACTGGCTATTCTCTGACTACGTTTTATTTCGTATGGTTTTGAAGGGAGTTATTGCTTTAAATCATATACAGAGAGTAGGTTGCTGCAAGTTTAAGTCTGGCTTAAGGCTGTTTATGTCTGCTTGAGTTTAGAACACCATAGTCAAGCGGGTTTTAGACTTTATCACTTTTATGACTGACTGACTTACTGAGTATGGTTTTACGCCGCTTTTAGCAATATTCCAGCAACATCACGGCGGGGACACCAGAAAAGGGCTTCACATTGTACCCATGTGGGGATTCGAACCCGGGTTCACTTTTTATGAAACCCCCGTTTGGGCACATGGAGCTGACAAGTGAGTGAGTGTGGTTTTACGCCGCTTTTAGCAATATTCCAGCAATATCACGGCGGGGACACCAGAAATGAGCTTCACACATTGTACCCATGTGGGGAATCGAACCTGGGTCTTCAGTGTGACGAGCGAACGCTTTAACCACTAGGCTACACACCACCCCGGAGCTGACAAATATAGATACCTAGTTCTAGCGAAAGGTCTGTGATGGTGAATAATTAGAAACAATACAGCAAGACTGCATATGGGTGAGCATTTAAGTTCAGATAATATCAAAGGTAAAATATACCTACTGTTTGAAAGAAAACCCTGTACTCACCAATGCACAGCACTGAGCGTTATCATGGAGA